TGCTGCTCTCCAGGAAAATGAGAAAATTTCTGGCTCAAAGTTACCTCTTGCCAGTTCTCTGTTGGACCGGAGACTACTTTCTCTCAATAAATCAGGCACTTGGGATAACTTTATCTTTAAAGAGGGACTTCAAATATTACTGTCATTCTCCTTGATCAAAAAAGGCCCATCTGATGGTGTGTATGCAATGCATCCACTGGTCCATTCCTGGGGCAGAGACAGAATGCTTCCAAATGAGAAGAAACAATGTTGCTTGATGGCTTATGTTACTTTGTCTTGTTCACTAAGATGGGGTGAAGACCAGCCATATGGATTTCAGAGGGCCTTGGTAACACATATAAGAGCAAATATGGAGCATTTCAGATTAGAAAGTAACAACAACAGTGTCAGATACTTAGATGATGCTTATGCCAACTGTGGGAGATTGTTGATGGAACAAGGATTTGCAAGAGAAGCAGAAAAGTTACAGATTGAAGTTCTGGATACAAGGAACAGAATTCTTGGAGTGGGACACCCAGATACAATCACTGCCATGTCAAATCTAGCAGCCACATATCGAAACCTGGGAAAATACACAGAGGCAGAGAAGCTGGAGATCCAAGTTCTGGATGCAAGCAACAGAATTCTTGGAGTGGAACACCTTGATACCATCACTGCCATGGCAAATCTAGCAGCAACATATGGAAACCTGGGAAAATACACAGAGGCAGAGAAGCTGGAGATCCAAGTTCTGGATGCAAGGAACAGAGTTCTTGGAGTGGAACACCCAAATACAATGACTGCCATGGCAAATCTTGCATCCACATATCAACACCTGGGAAAATACACAGAGGCAGAGAAGCTGGAGATCCAAGTTCTGGATGCAAGGAACAGAATCCTTGGAGTGAAACACCCAGATACAATCAGTGCCATGGCACATCTTGCAGCAACTTATCGATACCTGGAAAAATACACAGAGGCAGAGAAGCTGGAGATCCAAGTTCTGGATGCAAGGAACAGAATCCTTGGAGTGAAACACCCACATACAATCACTGCCATGGGACATCTTGCAGCAACTTATCGATACCTGGAAAAATACATAGAGGCAGAGAAGCTGCAGATCCAAGTTCTGGATGCAACCACCAGAATTCTTGGAGTGGAACACCCACATACAATCACTGCCATGGCAAATCTTGCAGTCATATATCTAGAGGTAGGAAAATACACAGAGGCAGAGAAGCTGCAGATCCAAGTTCTGGATGCAAGCACCAGAATTCTTGGAGTGGAACACCCAGATACAATCAGTGACATGGCAAGTGTAGCATCCACATATCGACACCTGGGAAAATACACAGAGGCAGAGAAGCTGCAGATCCAAGTTCTGGATGCAAGCAACAGAATTCTTGGAGTGGAACACCCACGTACAATCAAGGCCATGGCACATCTTGCAGCCACATATCGACATCTAGGAAAATACACAGAGGCAAAGAAACTGGATATCCAAGCTCAGAAGATAAAGAATAAAGTTCCTGGAGCAGAATCTCCCCTTATGAATTCTAGGGAAAAAGGTATGAAATGAGCTTCATTTTTTCATTTTCACTGACACTCATATTTATATGATTAGTACATTCTCTGACCAATGTTGCCAAGAGGATTTCAAAATTCAAGTCTGGGATGATGCATTCATTTCATAGTAAGAAACATCTCAATGATGGCTTTGCAGGAACTAGTACTTAATTCTTTTTCCCCAATGCTTCCATCCTTTTCACCTATATTCTTTTTCACTGAAATTCTGGCTTCTACTCATATCTTGATATTCTGTTTAGTATGTTGAATAAATTTCTCTTTATATGACTGTTTTAATTGATGATTGACTGTGTATGAGTTTATCAGAAGCATCTCATGATTCACAATCCAATACTTTATGTCTGTGCTTGCATTCAAGCCCCTTTTCAACTCTCCTGTTGAGCTGTCCATTATCCTCCAATGCATCCACT